AAGTTTCTTGTTCACTTCGTGGTTATACTGTATAATGATAATTTGACAGCCCTCTTTAGTATAAATTCAACGAGTTAAAGAATACAGTTTTATATTGCACATCCAAAATGAACAGCTCTTCAATCAAAATCTTGATACATTTTTCGTCAAGATTATTATGTTAGCAATTGACTGTGATAAGTGGCTAATGGGAAACATGCATCAAGATAACATAATGTGATCTTATTCACACCAGTTTAATTCTTGAAGAGATACAGTTGTGATTTATCATTAGAGAACATAGCAATATTACGTTTTCCTACTTTATCGATGTAATCTAAACTTTAGATTACGTCGATTCTGAATCATTCGCAAAATATTGTATAACACGTTTGAAGCCAAGTTTCTTGTTCAATTGTTTGATCTAAATCGAAAGTCATCTTTGTTCAAAAAAGAGAAAGCAAAGATAAAAAGACGGACGATAAAGAATGGTCTCGACTGCAGCTACTTACACTGCTTTGCACTTGTTGCAGTAGTATGTGCAAAGGGAGGAGTTCGTTCATTCATCGGTCGAGGGCATAAAAATGTTGTATGACCATCAGAAATGAAGCGTGGTGGTTGAATTCCTTGTTGTCTAGGCGAAGGTAGGAACGCCAAATCAAATTAGTCATCCAACAGAGATTGGAATGAACTTAACTGCTAATATTTATTCAAATTATCTGCTGCTCCGGTGGTGCTGGTGGCGAATGTTTGCGTTTGGTCGTCTTTTAAGAAACCGGTCCTTGGCTGTGACATAAAGGCTGTATTGGCGTATGGATCATTAGGATTGAAATACTGTGATGAACGATATGTTTGTTTATTATATGGAGTAGATGACGCAACAGCCGTTTTTTGAGATACATCCGTTAAGCACCGAGTGTTTTTCAAAAGATAATGGACCAAATGTTAGCTGGATTAGATGGAATAATTTGTTATTTAGATGACACCATTGTAACTGCGAAAAACAAAGTCGATCATCTGAATAATCTAATTAAACTATTTGCAAGAATCAAAGATTATGGTTTTAATATTAATAAGAATAAATGCGTATTCTTACAGAACCAGGTGGAATACTTAGGTTTTATTGTAGATAAAAATGGTATTCATTCATCACCATCAAAAATAAAATCAATTATTAATATGCCTAAACCAGCAAATCTTTCTCAATTACACTCATTTTTGGGTATGATTAATCATTATGCAAAATTCATTCCAAAATTATCGAATCGGTTATCTATTTTTTATTCGTTATTAAACAAAGATACTGCTTGGGAATGCAATGAAACTTGTGACAAAACCAAATATAAAAAAGCTTCTTACTTCTCCTCTGGTTTTAACTCATTATGATCAAGCTGATGGACTTTCTCGATTGCCAGTTAGACCTGATATTAAATTTGATAAACCAGATCCTGGTGAATCTCGTATTGCAGCTATGATTCAAAAACAATACCAACAGGAACTACCGCTTCAGGCATTACAAATTGCTCAAGCTACTCGAAAAGATGCAATTCTTAAATTTGTTTATGATTATATTCTTTCAGGTTGGCCATCAAAACATTCTGAACTTGTTCAATTTTATTTTAAAATTCGAAATGAACTTTCAACTTCAAATGGATGCATTACATAGGGCCTTCGTACAGTTATTCCATCTTGTTTTAAAAATCATCTTTTAAAACATCTTCATTTAACACATGCTGGGATGGGCCGAATGAAGGCAAAAGCCCGACGTTACTTCTGGTGGCCATCGCTTGATAGAAACATTGGAGATCTTGTTCGTAAATGATAATTCTGTTCAGAAAATTCGAAACAACCAGTTAAAGCTCCATTACAGCAATGGAAGGTTCCAGATAAACCTTGGCAACGTATTCATATCGATTTCACGAGAAAATTTACGGGTTTGTATTTTCTCATTATTGTCGATGCACATTCAAAATGGTTAGAGGTGCTTATTATGAATAACATTTCAACAAAAGCAACAGTTGATGCATTATCATCACTTTTTGCTCGTTATGGTTTATGTGAAGAAATTATATCTGACAACGGTACTCAATTTACATCAGAAGAATTTGCTGATTTTTGTGCTCGTAATGGTATTCGTCACAGTCGAACGTCAGCAGCACATCCACAGTCTAATGGGTAAGCAGAGAAATATGTTGATACAGTTAAATCTGCTCTTCGAAAAGGACTTTTTAATGGTGGGAAAATATCGGATGTTCTATTAAAATTTTTATTTTCATATAGACCAACTCCACATCCAACAACCAATGCAAGTCCTGCTGAGCTTTTCTTTAAAAGACAACTATGGTCTGTATTAGACTTATTGCGTCCTAATGTAACTGATGCATCAAGTGTTGCTCGAAAATGTTATCAATTGAATTTTGATCGACGTACAAAGGAACGTTATTTTTATGAAGGTGATAAAGTTCTTGTACGTGATCTTAGAATTAACCCAAGTAAAGTTAAATGGATGCCGGGTGTACTTATTAATCGTTAAGGGTCTCGTATTTGGATTGTTAAAGAGGAAAATTATACTTGGCGTCGTCATCGTGAATATTCATCAGATGAAGATATTATTATTATGGATTCAACACCAATAACTGATCAAACAACATCGACAACAACTGATCACAATAAAGGCTCTTCAACATCTTCTTCTTCATCTGATCAAGATTCTCAAATAGTTAGGCGTTCATCACGTTTAAGAAAACCTGTTCAAAGATTGATCGAAGAAATTTGAGGTGGAGGAATGTGACATAGTGACACGAACTTGTCAGTTCTTTTGTTTTGTCTTTCGTTTCTGTTATCTTTCCTTTTTTCCTTATGTATACATATACTAGTATATATTGTTTCTTTCGTTGTTTGATCTCTCTCTCTTGGTCTCAATATATTCTTTATTGTTGATCAAGGTTAAATAACGTTATATTTGACCTTGACTGGGTAGACTATTACGTAGTAAGAATTGTCTATTACGTAATATATATAGTTTTGTTTTTCACAATAAACTGGTGTTTATACGTATTAGATGAATACGTGACAATATTACAGGAAGTAGTATCATCAGAGACTTAGAACAAGGTGTTTGTACCCTGAATGATGTTGCCTTTCATCTTCGAACCAAACCTGGGTCTTCTATTCTGGATATGGTACAGTACGTACAAAAGGATCAAATTGACCAAAACTTTCATCTCTCAGAACGTACTGTTTTCTCACTTGGTATAATTGACTTGTTAAAGACTAACTCGGACGAATCCACCAAAAGAATTCAACAATTGACCAAAGTTCTCAAAGAGAAGTATTCTGAAATGAAACCTAATTTTGTCACCATTCCTCCGCGATTTGATTCTCTACTGAAACCAAGTCTTCAAGCCATACAAAATGACGACATTGATGAGTTTAATCATCAACTTGTTCAGTTATCTACAACTGTTGGGTTCGATGTACTTGAATGTAAATTCACACCTGATATGATCAACAACAGCGGAATTCACTTGAATGCACTTGGGACCAACACATTATCTAACAGTATCGATGATTACTTGAAAACTTGTATTTAACCAAACTCTACGGCCAATTGACACTTTATTTTCTTCTTTAATTTCGGGAAATAACTCTGTTTCTTCAACTTTGCATGTCTCATTTTCTCTTTCTGGAAGAAGGAGAAGCTGGAGAGAGGTTGGTTTTGCGATTAGTGTTCGCAGAAAGTAGTTTACACTCCTAGAAAGAAAATACGCGGCTTTATAAAATGAAACAGACATATTCTAAAACTGGATGATTCAGGCTATAAATTCCTAAAAAGAATTTTGTGTACATCTCATTTCTGTACAAAAAGATCAAAGATCTATTTTTGCTAGGTGTTTTCCAAGAAAGGTGTTCAATGAAGTGAGTGCGCTAAATTTAGCTAAAGTGCAGACTAAATAAAACTTTCAGGAAATGATCTTTTATATAATATACGTCTACAGCATTATCATAAAGGTGCGCAAACTCTTCTCAGCTAGGATATTGGTTTTTCAAAAGCCCGTGGTCTTAGGAGGTTTCCACATTTGTATAGTTCTGAAGCACTTTTTCTAAAAAGTAATGACAGATTCGGAATCAGCGTGAAAAACTGCATCGAACGATACTTAATAAGCTACGACTTGTTGTTAGAGATCATTTCAAAATTTAGTTAGAAAAGTTTCACAATTATTAGAAATACTGGTCGTATCGGTTAGAAACAAGAAGAATTACACATCTCATATACGAATGTTGAATATCAAAAAAAACAAACACGTTTTACGCCTTTTATTAATTCAATCTCTGTTGGTGGTGTTCCTTTCGTTTTTATCAGATTCACTCTTTTTAAATCTATGTGTTGGTGGCTATAACCCATCGAGCTCTACACACGGGAATAGACAATACTAAATAACATCGAATTAGTGTTTTCTATGAAATTCTGCATCTGTTCATAACTTATTTGAATTTTAGGAATTTATACTAAACCATCAAGTCATCAATGTCATTATTTCTTCCATGTAAGTTGGAAGGTAGATAAGTCATGGATCAATCTATAAATGAGTGTTCAATTTCTATGCCATACAAATTGAACACAAAATCTAGGCTAGATTTTGTCTACAAGA